CGACTAGCTGGTCGATTCGGGGCAGAGGAAACGGATCCTTTGGGCACGCTTTGTTAAGATCTGTGTAGTCTACACACATTCGCCACGTCGGGGGCTTGGGCACAAGGACCACGTTAGCCAACCATTCCGGGTACTTGACCTCACGGACGTGTCCGGCTGCTAACAGCGTGCTGACTTCTTTCTTCACAAACTCCCTCCGATCGTTTGCCAAATATCGTTTCTTTTGCACGACCGGCCGGTGCTCCGGGTCTACGGCGAGTCGATGCGATATGACCGATCGATCTACGCCGGGCATATCTTCTGGGCCCCAGGCGAAGACCAGCCGGTGCTCTTGGAGTACTCTTGTGATTTCCCCCTTTAGCTTCTCCGAAAGGCCGACTCCGATTCTCACTCGCCTGCTTGGCTGCGCTGGGTCCACTTCAACTTCCTCTAGCTCGACGGCCGGCTCCGGGCGTGGTATCACTGTTTTCTTAGGGGGCCTCTCGGTGATCTCATGGACCTGCATCCCACGCTTGCCCATACCTCTACATGCCTGCAGATAGCAGTCGCGGGCGACCTTGCGGTCACAACGCACCGTTCCTATTCCGTTCGGCGTGCGGAATTTCAGGCACAAATGTTCGATTGAGATCAGAGCCCCGAGGTCTTCCAAACCCGGGCGGCCGAGTATGGCGTTGTGTGAGCAGGCTAGATCGACCACGATGAACTTCATGCTCAACTGCTGCACATTCGGATAGCTGCCGATTTCCACAGGAAGAGTGATGGACCCTTCCGCCTCTACCGAGTCCCCGGTGAAACCGGCGAGAGGGGTGTTCACGGGCCTGAGCTGTTCTCGGGTCAGCCCCATCTTGGTAAAGGTCTCCAGGTACAGTACGTTGACGCTGCTCCCGGTGTCGACCAGGATTCGGCGAACGACCACACCGTTGATGTCCATGGCGATGACCAACGCGTCTCGATGCGGGGTTTCCCCAGCTGGCAGGTCTTTATCGGTGAACACGATGGGCTCCCGACATGTCTTTTTGGAGCTCTCTTCTCGACCATAGACTGTTCCGACATATAGCTGCCGAGCCCAGGCTTTTCGGGTGTTCGCGGAATCGCCGCCTTCTGGCCCACCGACTATCATGTTAATGACCGGCTTCTGGCGCCATTGGGCTTCGTCCTCTTCGGAAGCCGGCTGCTTGCCTCGGCTGTTTTCTGAGTCGGCGACGGGTCCCTCACCTCCTCGACCGGTCGACCTTCGTTTCCATTGGTTAGGGGGCGGTGTCCCTTGCTGGATGATCCCCTCCATAATCTTCTTTAGATAGTAGCATTCTTCTGTGCTGTGAGTATAAGATTTGTGATAGCGACAATATTTAGAAGTCTTACCCGTATCCTCGTCCGCTGCTCGGTCGTCCATCGGCGGAGGCGGAGGCGGGGCGACCGCCTGTACTTCACGGACTGGTCGCTCTGGAACTGGTCGATAGGTGTGAACGATGGGTCGGTCGTACGGCCGCCTGACCTCGGGTCGCCGGACGGCATCTGAACGCCTTTCTCTCGTTTCCACCCGCGTCCTTTTTGCGCTGGCGGACCCACCGACCTCGCGCTGCCGTTTATGCTTCATGGCCTGCTCTGTGTTGGCCCTCTTATTGGCCATCTGGATAGCCTCCGCGTATGTCGCCGGGCGGTTGTCCCTTAGATCTCGATACAGCTGTCCAGATCGCAAAGATTCAATGAAGAAGGTGAGCGCTGTTTGGTCCTCCACCTCTTCTATCGACTGGATCTCCTTCTGCCAACGAGCAAGATAGGCTTTCAAGGACTCGCCTTCATCCTGATGGATGTCGCCTAAGTGCGTCAGGTCCTTCTGTGGCTTGATGTTAGCGGCATAGTGGCTCATGAAGCGGTCTGCCAGTTCTTCGAAGCTGTGGATCGACCCCGAGGGCTGACTTACAAGCCATCTTTGGGCGGGCCCCTTCAGCGTAGGTAAGAAGGCACGGCACATGACCGGATCCCGCACTCCTAGGACTTGCATCTTAGCTTGGTGACTCAACAGGTGTTCTCGCGGGTCGCCTGATCCGTCAAATGTGGCTTGCTCCGGGAACTTAAAGTCGCCCGGTATCTTGAAGGCCATGACCTCGTCCGAGAAGGGCAAGGCGGTTAGCAACGTACGCCCCAGGGATTTGGCTTTTCCCTCCATCCGTTCTCTTAGATTTCGTACCTCTTGTACTAGGTTGGCCACTTCGACCCTTTCCCGGGTCCGATTCCCCGTGGATTCCGTGCTTTCGCCGACTTCAGACTCAGCCGGTTGGGCAGGGTTGCGAGGAGGTTGCTCCACGCGGCGAGTCTCAGTCCTGGCCCTTTTGGTTCGGCTCTTTTCTCGTGCAGCTTGCCGGTCGCGGGCGACTAATGGGGCACGACTGGGCTCCCTCCGGCCTAATCGCTCCCTTGCCGACCGACGTCCGACGCTGGGACCCAGCCGGGAATGAACGGATTGCACCGGTTGGCTCTCTGCCCGTCGACTCAATTGCCGATTGTCTGGCCTCTGAGGCGGTTGCAACTCGTGTTGCAACTGGCGAGTGATGGACTGTTCTCTCACTCCTAGGCTCGCTTCCGCGCAGGCGCGTCCGATTGCACGCAACTGCTCCGGGGTGAGCTGCACTTGAGGTAATTGCGGGTTTCTCAGCGGCGTCGGCGGCGGTGTCGTCTCGTTTTCATGGCTTCGGGCATTTCTTCTATTCAGCTGGTTTCTCAGGTCGGCCTCCCGTCCGTTGTCTTGACGGCTCGACTGTTCCCCGCTTCCAGCCATGTCTGGAGTTGGCCTGATTCAACTATTGTTTCTCGGACTCGCCTCACCCAAGTGGACACGTGACTCTTCGTTTCGATCCCCACAGACGGCGCCAGTGATGGTTTTAGGGTTTTCGGGCCCAAGGAGGTCCAACACAACCTTAAGCTGGTGGATACACCTTTCACAAAAAGGTTTGAGTCCTAGTAAAATATGATGCTTAACAGTACTTGTCTATTCCCTCTCCGGGTTCTCGAATCTGCCTCATACAAGGGTGGAGGAGCCCTCTTTATAGTGGCTCCTCTTCTACTGACTTAAAGGCTTATGATGGCCGACTTAAAGATTACATTCAATGTGCCGAGCTGTTGGGCGACGTTACGGAATCTGCCAACGGCTCTCTTTGGCTAGTAACTGGCGGACCGAGCCCAGCCTTTAATGCCTCAACGGCTCCCTGTCTTAACTGCGTTGAAGGCTCCCTCCACGGCTCTCTGGACCGAGTCCTCTCCTAGAGCGGGCCTGGGCCGACTCCTTGTCCCCGTTTGGCATTGGGCCGCCCTTCCGGTTTCTGAACTGGGCCTCCCTCTTTGGACCTGGGCCGAGTCCTGGACTCGGCCCATGCATTCTTTCTGGGCCTCTTTTCTTGGGCCGGGGTTCTCACCCCATCATATAGCTAACTAGATTAGTTACATAGAAACGTGTTTGGTAAATGGTTGTTAGTTGATAGCTTTTAGCTGTTAGCTATTAGCTATTAGCTGATTGGGTTAGTTAGTGGGTATAACTAGTTAATAATATTAGCTAATTGTAGAAAGGTGTTTGATAAATTAGTTGGTAGTTGATAGCTGTTTGGTATAATTTCTTTTCTCAAAAGTTAATTGAAAAAGTTGCTTTGAGTAGCTTTATGAATTTTAGCATTTTGAAGTTACAAAAAATTAATTAACCAAACACTTATATTGATTTTTTTAACAAAGTCAAACAATTAATAGTGGTCAAATAAGCCGACAAAATTGGCTAATAGATTTTACCAAACACGGCAAGATAAGTGGAGGTTTGCCAAAGATGGAGATGTAAATGAAAATTATAAATGGTTAGAGATGTAAATATCAAGGCTTGCTGTTTTTGCAATGACATTAATAATTAGTATAGAATAGACATGTTTCCCTTATCTCTTCTTGGTGGAAAGAATAATATCTTTGTTGCACAGGAGATTTTGCTGTCCTTTGGCAAACATGTAATGTGGGATGAAGTGCCAATCACCAACATACATATATTTCCACTACATCATCAAAGTTTGATGGACCATATATGTCTTAGTCATGACTACTCATGATGGGAGCTATAAATTTTATGATAATGTTTGGTTGTTAGTTTTAAGTGCAATCACATTATTCATGACAATTTTGTTTAATCTTAACTATTATTTCACAAATATTTCTGTTCGACAAAATCACCACCGTTGTCTTTAGGTCTCCTCATCCCAATCACACCAACCCACCAAAAAAAAAAAAAAAAAAAAAAAAAAAAAAAAAAAAAACACCTAAAGTTAGCATTGGTACATGGTATTGTAATGGTGGGTTCATTTGATTAGATGTACATCATGATTAAATACTATTTAAGGAAATAATAGAGTTAATTGCAATTTGGGTCCTTAAAGTGGATAGAATTTGTCAAATTGATCCCTCATTTATGGAAGTAAATTAATATTACGCGTACTTATGCATCAAAGTGATTATTTTGATATTTTTATTATAATCATTATTAGTTTAATTTTAAATTTTACATATTGTTAACCAATGGCAAAAATGAAAAGAGGGATTGAAATGAAATTTTGAGCAAGTCAAACACACATGAATATTTAATGAGAAAGTTCAATTCCTCAAATCATCACCTTTGTGCATATATAATTACGGGTAACATTCACCGCTGGAAATTTCGCTATTTCCGTCCAACAATAATGTTGATCGGTAATTTGTAAAAAATCATAACTTTCCATCGCAAATAGAAATGGACGGAAAGTTGGACGGATATTCAGTCCAACACTTACACGTTGGACGGAAGTTCCGACAAACACTAAATGTTGGACGGAAATTCTGTCTAACGTTTGCACGTTGGACGGAAAATCAAATTGACAATTAGGTAAAATGCAAAAAATGTACTTCATATTATTAAATACCGTCCAACATTGTTGTTGGACGGAAATTGAAATATTTAAGTCCCAGCTTATTTCAGCTCATACTTAAATGTTAGGGCTTTTTCGAACGCATTCGTCACTTCACCTTCTTTTGTTCTACGCCTCCCCCTCAGTCAGCCATTTCCAAACTTTAGCATTCGTCACATTGCAGGCCTTTGCAGTTCTACGCCTTCACTCCGGTGATCTCCCCAGTGCTGTGCCTTCAGGCCTCTCGGTTCGGCAGTTCGCACTCTTTGCAGGCCGCAGGGACAGCTCCTCAGCCCCTAATTGAAGTCAGCAGCAGGTCTCCTGTCTTCGTTGCGACTCATCTGCAGCGGGCAGCTACTCTTTTTTATCGGCAGCGACGACGACATTAGGTTCGAAAACTAACCCTCAAGTCTAGTTAGATTTGCAAAAATTAATTTTTCAGATTTATTAATAATTGATTCATTTTTTAATTGTAATTCTCCTGTTTTGATGTCGAGGATAGTATTATTTTCCTAGATTTCTCCCCAATTTTATCTTGTTGATGTTGGAAAAATAGCATTAAAATGACATTTTAAGTGGCTATTTTGTGGTATAATTATCGGTGGGGTCCACCTCCGATTTGGGTCGGGTCAAAGTGGATTCGGGTTCTTCGTAGTGAGACGAAGAGATTGATATATTGTACGCTCAAAACGGATAATGGGTGAATGAGATATTGATTCTCAAAGTAGACCCATTGAGTTGGAAAAATGAAGGGAAAAGTGAGCTTTGTCCCACATTGGTTTGGAAAGAGGATTTGACCCCCCTTTTATACAAGAGCTTTTTTAGAACTTGTAGAATTGTATAGCATAGAGGCTCTCTCGCGCGGGGGGAGGGGGGGTGCAAATCAAATTCCAACTAGAGAGACTTCGGAGAGGCTTGATTCAAGCCCGAGCTCGTGTGCGCCGGCACATACGGGCACGAATGTCGTCCGGAAATTGGCTGGCCTTGCGGGCTAAGTTATGCCAACTTTCGGTATCAGTTTTCCAAACTCTAAGCCACTTGAAAGCCTGGGTTCGACCTGGCCCGGCACGAATGTCGTCCGGAAATTGGCTGGCCTTGCGGGCTAAGTTATGCCAACTTTCGGTATCAGTTTTCCAAACTCTAAGCCACTTGAAAGCCTGGGTTCGACCTGGCCCGAGAGCATTAGGCCGAACAGAGAACAAGCAGCACGAGAGGTGCTCTCGTGTGCGCTGGCCGAGACCAAGCAACACGAGAGTTGCTCTCGTGCGCTGCGGCCTGGCCGAGAGCATGCAGCACGAGAGTTGCTCTCGTGCGCTGCAGCTGAACAGCACTTCGGTCTACCAGAGCTGTTTCTGGACAGTGGAGATTTAATTCATCCGTTACAAGAATTAATCTCTGTATTAATTCATTTTGAATTTTGAATTAAACCTGCACTAATGACCAGCTGTTTCAGATGTTACCAACGTGCCATGAATGCCTACTAAATGCTATTTAGTACTCCAATTCCCATATAAGAAGAGGTAGTAGGAGCAAGTGATTTACAACAAGTGTGGGAAGAACACGAGAGTACACAACACACAAAGATAAGCAATTTTCCTTCTCAAAACCTCTGCTCCTACTCCTTTTCTTGCTACTGTGTTTTGCCCATGCTCTAGTTCGCCGGGTTCGTTCGTTTGGGTGCTCAAACGTCGAATCGTTGTACGTTTTATCCTGGGAAACCTAGGCCACAACGCTCCTAGCACTTTTGGGAGGTGGCAAATAAGGTTTTAAGGAAAGACAGGCACTTTGCCTAACTCGTACGAATCTTTCTTCCTTCTCCTTCTTTCTTGTTTTGGATTATGCTCTAAGCAAAAATCCGTTCTTTCTTGTTGTTTTGGAATTATAATCTAAGGATTATATTTTCTTTTTGGTTGATATATATTGGTATATCTTTTTCGTAGATATACATGTATATATAACCGTTGGGTCCGTTTTATATATATTTGTGTGTATATATATATTTCGGATATATATCCAATAATATTTTATATATATTTCGTGTGTATATATATAAATATTATTTTACGGATATTAAATCGATTGTGGTTCATTATCACCAACAGTTGATTCTAGGTTTTTCAGTGTATGGATATTATTCTCTGCTCCCATGGATGCAGATGGCTGGATGAACACAAGGTAATTAAACGCACATCAATCATCATTTCCTTTCATTTTTCTCCTTTTTGGCTAAATTATTGCTTCAATAGTTTCTGCATTTAGTCAGTTAATATTCATTCTCAATGTAACTGAGTAATACACGGAGTATATGTACGGATGCTATCTGTTATCAGATTCTATGCTTTTAGGTTACGAAACTGGTGTTAGAATTCATAAATCACGCAGATTTTAATCCTGTGTGCTTCAATGTTGCTTTAGGGCAGCGTAACAAACAATTCAATGAAAAACACAGTATATTAGACACTTAAGTGCATGGAACAACAAGAAAATAAGTAGAAACAACTGAACAATAGTTGTATTACAAGTGAAATTAGCGGTAAGAAGTTGGTGAGATCAAGTAGTAGTTCATCTAACTCCTGAAGTGCCAAATGCCTTCATGTAGTAGTTCAACAGCAGGTTCATATCTAACTATCTAAGCATCTTATTAGTTATTATGCAGTTACTATGTTTAGAATTTCCACCTTATTTGTTCCTTCCCCCGTCTTACAATGTATCTATTATGCTCTAAAGATAAATAACTTGTCAAGTAATAATGTAATTAGAAATTACTTTAATCTCTGTTCTCTCAATCGTTTTCAGTTTCTTCTTTAGTCTTATTGGATATGGTTCCCTCATACTTTGCTCATGTTCTGGCTCTTGCTTTAGACTAAATTGCTTCACCTTAGTGTCTACATTGGTTGCACTTGTAATCTAAATATACATGTTTCTATTGCTTCTTTTTTTATTTTTGTAGATGAGGGGGAAAAAAAGGTGATTGGATGAAGAACAAGGCACGAATTTTTGAGATTAAATTGGAGCTAACCGGGCGATTGACTAAATGATGAAACACAAGCCCCTTCATGAAGATTAAATACTTTATGTTTTTATGATTTTTTTTTGTGTATGGCAATAGTGCATTGGTTAAATATTTATAGATCGTACACGATACTATCTTTTTGTTGTAAATAATTTTGATATTTAAATATATTTTCATTTTGAATTTAGATAATGTGTATATTATTTTGTAAATGATATAGAATATATTGACAAAAGATAAAACAAAATTATAGCAAGATCAAAATAAATAAAAACAATTTATATAAATATAGATTTTCCTGCCAACAATTGGTCACATTTTCTGACCAACAATTAGAAGGAAATCAACATTATGGACCAGGGAATTTCCGACCAACATGTGGTCGATATTTCCGTCCAACTGGTCAAAGTTGGACGGAAGTTCTCATCCTAAAAATGGTGGGTTACTATTCGAAATTTCCGTCCAACTTTGACCTGTTGGACGCAAATTCCGACCGACATATGATGTTGGACGGAATTAGCGATGTTCATTTTTCCGATGCCTCATTTTGGACGGAATGTTGAACGGAAACCTGTTTTCCGACCAATAATCCCCATTTTCTGTCTAATTTTCGTTGGACGGAAATAGCAGGATTTCCAGTAATGATTTACTCATATAATTAATAAAAATTAATTTCATGATTCCTAAATCCTAGTTATCTTCGAGACCAAAAGTCAAATTAGCCTTAGTACATGTCTTAATCTCAATGTAAATGTATGACAATTAATTTAGTTGATCATGGAAAAACATAAAGACAAGGATGAATAGTTCAAACCTATTGTCATAATTTTAATTTTTTTTCAAGTATTTTAATTTATATTAATAATCCTTGTTGATATTAAAAAGATTGTTGTAATTATGGTCAAAGCATGCACTTTTCGCCGGGAATTAGTTTTAACATGATTCTTGAGAACTACTATTGGAGGAAGAAGGCGAAAGGCGACGACGTTCTCCTTATTCAGTGACAAGGTGACCGGCGACAGTTGCAGTCGTCGGACACTTATTTAATATTTATAACACTTAATTATCGGATATTATCAATGGGTGATCAATTATTGAGTTCGGATGCATCAAAATGAAAAATTCACATGTTTAATTGAACTTTTTAAAAATTTGAGGAGTCTACTTTCAAAAAAAACAAATTGAGGAGTCTAATTATTATTTCGTATAATGCATAGGGGTCTAGTCTCAAAATTTTATAATATCAAATAGTTTGAATTTCGATTATTATAAATAAAAAGTGGTAGCGTATTTTTAAAAATGAATAATAGTTTCACATTCATTATTATAAAAAGAAAAATGGTTTATTTTTCTTAAGTTTATATCTTCATATTTGGTGAGCACATTATTATGAGTTTAAAAAAGTTGATTTAGTAATTAAATATTTAAAAAAATGTCAATCAAGTAACACCACATCATGAGGTAAATATTAGGATATAAAACTTATGTGGATTGAGGAACATATAGAAAATGGTCAAATACACTCTCAAATTTTATACGAGAAGTCAATTAGTCCTCCGAACTTTTAAAAGTTGTAATTAAACACATCAACATATCATTTTAGTGCATTAAAGCCTAAAATCAATCAGTGACCGGTGATAGCAGGTCGTTAGGGTTTCGGTGATGCTTCGAGTACCTCTGAAAAAAACTGACAATCGGTGACCAACAAACGGTTGTCGATCGCCTTCTTTAATTTCGTAGAAAAGGCGATCACTAGTCTCCTTCTTTGATTGAGAATGTGACCAATTGATCATCTTCTCCAATTGAGAAGGTAACTATGGGTCGCCTTTTCCACCAGAGAAGGCAACTAGCTATCGTACAACGTTCCCCATTTTTTTCGAAGATAGTCAAAGTATCGCTGGAACCCTAATGACTTGTTATCCCTGGCCACTAACCAATTTTTTTTCACTGGTTTTAATTTTTGCAGATCTGTGTTTTTCCATTCGTTATTTTGACGAGTATTCTTCCTCTCATTTCTTTGTTGAGTTTTTTTTTTTCATTAAGGTGAAACGTTTTAATTAGTCATGGCGTATTTTTATCTCTTCCTGAGCAACAAAGAAGATCTGAACTATGTTATGCAGTTCAGATTGATGGAGATATTGTTTATGGACAAAAGAACTGCAATAGATTCTCAGGTAGTATGGAAGACTACTTCTCAAACAAAGTTAGTATTGGGTGACCAGACCATTATCAACATCAAAGAAGCTTCAGATTCCTCGAATGAATTCAACTTAAATTTTGCAAAACAGTCTGCAATTCAAGTTTCTTGTAGCATTGCTAGGAAAGTTGTTTCTATGTCTGACTGTAAGGAATGCTTTATTGTTCTATCAATCTTTATTGCAAACGTTTTGACTTATGATTAATGAATTAGTATCTTTATTCTCAAAAAAAAAAAAAAAAATGGGAGTCTAATTGACTTTTCATATAAAGTTTGGATGTATATTTAACACTTTCTCTGAAGATGTATTATATTCATAAAAATAAATCTTTTTTGGAATGCTACTGACTTTATTACATTGTAGAATGTGTTCAAACATACTTTCTCAACCTAATGAAGCGTACAGAGTCAGGCTCAATCTCACGACCTCCCACATGGGAGAGGTCACTACATATCATCTAAGCACAAGGTGCATGACATTTAATAATCATTTTTTAATTTCAGATAACTATACAATTTTCCTATAATAAATATGTATTATCGTACTTAGGTGAGCTGATAGCTCATCCATCATTTAAAGCAATGATTTCATTAGCAATTAACAATATTAAATATTGTACCAAATAAATAATATGCTTCCCATTTTTTTAGCATAAAAGTATACCGACCAACTAAAGTAAAGCTGTTTCTGAACGTTTTTAGGCAGTCTTAATAATTTTTTTTATAGTCAACTTGTGCAATTGTGCTTAGCAAATTTTTTTGCAAGAGAAATTTTAATTAATTCTTAATGCAATTGAATATATATATATATATATATATATATATATATATATATATATATATATATATATATATATATATATATATATATATATATATAATTGTTACAAGTGAATATATATAATTGTTACAAGGAAACGCCAGTACGCCACAGAATAGATTTCTAAGGTTCAACTTGATTAAATTTATATCACATGATGCTGATAATAATGTAGTACCCTCGAAAAAAAAATTATATTAACAATGTAAATAAAATAAAATAAAATAAAACTTTAGGCTTCACATACAAGTTGACGAACGGTAAATTTGTCAAATAACATGTAACCACGCACATATGCATCAATGCAAATATTCCCAAACACCACACGTGCAGTCCAATCTCAAGTTTAACAAAAAGATATATAAACATAAGATTTTGACATTAAGGATTCGCTTAACGGTTAATCACATGTTAACCAACTCAGCCGGTCACATGGACCAGATACGTGGGGCCCACTAAACCCAAGTAAACCCGAGCAGAGCAGGCCCACGCCGTAAGCTTTTTCTCAGCAGCTGTTGCACATGCGAGGGTGCACGTGCAGGAGGGCATCCCCGCAATCAACGGTCGAAGATCGGACTACTATCCGGACGGACGGTCAAGATCCTGCACGTATAGTTCCTCCACCGAATTTCCAAGCTGGCAATCACCGACGACCGGCGATAGAAGGTGAGCGGAAGGCGAGGAAGACATGATTAAGATAATCATGAAGGCGTAATGATGAGATGATCTTTTTGACCGTTGACCGGATCTAGCGGTAATAACGAGCTTTGCTTTGACCATGGGGGACGCACGTGTGGGTACACGTATTCTTCATGTGTGGCTTCGCTGTTGTATGGGAATTATGGTGTGCCACGTAGGATCACGTGACGGTTGAAATAGTATAAGTACAAGTTGATTAAGAGTGTGTATGCCAAGCACTTTGTGCTTAGATGGCAGTTGTGACTTTTTCTATATGATTGTTGACTAAATGGAAATATACAATGATGGTGGTGGTGGTGGTGACAGCGACGGCGACAGGTGATTGGCTGCTCCAGCAAACGGAAAATGGCTTCCCAAAAAAAAAAAAAAATGAAGTCATTTTTCAGAAAATTCCCTAGACTTTCCATTAAGCACACCCTTATTTTCCATTGACTTTCATTTTCCCTCTCTAGCCAAAATCTAGAAATCATTTTCCGAGTTTCCAAACACACCCTAAGTGTTGTAATTAAAGTTTTACACACTAAGAATATGATTCAAAATCATAGTTATTAGTGTTTGATTAATAACTCTTTAAAACACAACTATGAGATTTGATTATCCTCCAATTAAAAATCGCATTCCCTAATTTAAGAAAAAAAATAAAAAAAAGGTACATCATCACATCTTATTAGTAATCTAATTTTTAAGTTTGGATCAGTACTTTTAGATTTTTATTTTGATTTTTTTTTTGTTCATATTGATGTTTTGGATATCATTATATTATGATCAATTATCTTAAATTTTTTTTTTTTGTATTTGTAAAAACATTTATTCCCATTATAGAGTCATACACACTCAAACTTCAATATATATTGGTAATCATTCAAATTCCACCATATATACTACCAAACATACAAAATACTTTCATCAAAATCCATTATCATTAGCAAGTGTTTGATTTCTATTTTGATTCATATTCTCATGTGTGAACCAAACACACCCTTAATTTGCTTTATACAATTTTCAACTTTTTTTTTTTAACTTTTTGAATAGTTCTTTAACTTCTCTGTTAAGTTAAAAGACTATTTTAGGTTTTAGAAATATATGTATATTATTGCGAAAAAGTAAATTATATTGTCATAACTTTTCATACTCAATTTTCTATAAAATAATTTTTTTAGGCCACTAGTTATATTCGAAATAACTTTTTTAACTAATCAATGTCTTGTGTGAACAAAATAATAATAAATTTTCTCTCGTCACCAAAATAATAATAATACAAGGGAGGAAAATTAAGGAAGAAAATTTGATAACGGTCATAAATGAGCGATGAAAATACTTTTTTTATATATATAATTTACAGACAAAAAGTGATATTTTCTCATCACCAAAAAAAAAAGGTGATATCTTTGTAACGTTTTCCT